TGAAGGCTTTTTTCGTTCACTAGGACAAAATTTGCAAATGTTGTGTGATGTCTACCAACTTATTCAATTTAAATGAGCTCATGATGTTTAGAGGTTCGTTTGGCATACGTAACATGGACAAACTGCTGAAAGCCAACAGTAAAATCCATCTATTTTGAATGTAAAGGCAAACATATTGTACGAACCATACACTACAAAACTTGAGTAGCTGCAACAACAACTAATCAGTGACAACTCAAATCACTTCGCTTCGGTCGGCTGAAACAAGCTGTATCCTGTAGTCGGTCGTGTTTCTTCACTGAATTTGAGTAGGCTTATACTTCATAGCGGATGCGATCAGCTTTTGAAACTGGAAATATATTTTAAAAGTGTTTCGAACCACAAAATGTTAACTTGTAACACTATTCATTAGTAGGATGGTCAAGTAATCGTCTAATAAGGACTGAGCAACAAAGACAATTATATGGCGCTATTAATAGTAGTTAACAGTTCCCATTTGAAAACTATTACAGCTAAGTATACTTAAAATTGTTTCGCTTTGGTTATTCATTACGCACCACGCGTATTGGAAATTGAATAAGTCGATGAGAAAATTAAATGTACTATTACATTATTCGATTATACAAAATAAATGCATTATGCGTATGAATGAATTCCCAGGTGATTCGATCCGACTGTCGGATTACGTCGGATTATATCGGAAAAATTACCGGATTTTAACGGATCCGACGGGAATTCGTCGGAAGTTGTCGGCGTCCTAGCCACAGGATTCCGACAGGAGGTTCCGGATGTCGGAATAATCAGGATCCTGCGAAATCCCTGAAACTCCGACACTTTCCGACATCCAGAACCACTTGTCGGAATCCTGTGGTTAGGATTCCGACAAATTCCGGCGAATTTCTATCGCATTCGACAGGGTGAATTCGACCTGGGAAAGTCTAATGGTATCCATTTCCTCATAACGAATTTAAAAAATATAATATAGCTCTTGAACTTAGTCACATCTCAACTAGGAATCGTATAACTAATTTTCACTCCATTTTTAACTGAAAATCGTATGATATATCGTGTTCGATGTCGGGAATTAGTACAGCTACGTAAACATGTAAAGAGTGCTCACTCTAGTGTTAAATCTGCCTAGAAGAAGTATCAAAAAAGGAAGATTACAATTACACCAACGTATCGAAACGTGTACAAGGTGATTATAAGCACCATTCACTCCATGGTACATGTTCACTCATCTAACAATATCTTGTTGATGCAAAAGAACATGATAATAAAGCCTTGAAATACGAAAAACTACGTCAAAATAAATATACTAACCAACCAGCTGTTTTTAATATGAAAGACCAAAATGTTTCACCACTGAGTGAATCGAAAAAGCCTCACCAAGCATCATGAAATTATGTTTAAAAAAAATATGTACCAATGATGCATTCGCTTTAACAAAAACACGTCTTCTTATAAATGAAAATCTGATCGCTATGCGTCAAAGTAATTGGAGACGAGGAGAAAAATTTTAGAGGACCGATTCAAACTTGAGTGAAACAGTCTTAGATACAAAGTGACATCTAATATCAGCGACCTAATTGATTATATGTACGATTACTAATTCAACATAGTATCTAATCGGTAAGGAATCAAGTAAATTCGAAATTACTGAATTTCACATCAGCTCTACAATTCTTCTTTGATAAACTGTGTAGCCAGAATAATAATTTATGCAACAGTTATGAGCTAAGACGAAAATGTGCAATATCACCAAACATTCAAAATAAACCATCCATCATGTTGGAAGAAATGAACCATGGTGATGCATGGATCGTAAAAAATCACAAGTAGTTTTAATATTGCGCTTAATTTGTTCGCGCGTCATTTTTCTCTAAAAGATCTGTTTCGTTTACTCAATAGAACCAGCAATGTACCAGTTACAGCGATGAAATTTTTCAGTAGATGATTAACAACTAATTGCTGAGCTCTTCAATGAATAGTGTTCTAGTCAGCTCTTGAGTTCAGTGCTAAACTAATGGAAGAATAATAATATATCTATGCCTAACAGCATTAATGTATCTCTAAAACTGATATGTTATAGTGTCGATGGATGAGGTAAACGGTCACTTGCAGCTAATTAATTAGTATACACAATTAAAGTATCCATATGCATATTCATTGAAGTGAATGAGCTATTGGACACAAATAAAATATCACATTTTAATAATTTATTAGAACGTATGATAATCGCGGTTGAGGGATTTGTATAGCACTAGAAAAACGTCTTAGAGCATCGTGTATCAAGATAGATATACAAAATACAGTATTCATTGATATAACAGGACTCTCAGAACCAGTATGTGTAAAAAATATTTACTGGCTAAATGATCAAAAACGTTATCTTGATGATATTCTTTCATTAATGGTGGAAGTCACCATTGTCACTGGAGACTTTAATGAAACAGTTAGAGAATCATACAGCTTTTCAACGGATAAGAGATGAGTATGATAAAAACCTTGAATCGAAGAGAACAATATCCATTACATACTATCGACATCATCTTCATTAAAACGTTCGATACTCAATATGGATTCATTCATCTCAGTTATAAAAACTAAACTGTGAAAAACATTGCACTTCGGCACTAATGATTACTGGCCTCTTGTTTTGACTTGTGAAAAATACTTTTTCGATATGAGAAGCATTTTCTTCCGTACTAACTGAAAGGCGTTTTAGGCTATTTTAGTTCTGTTTCAAACACTCTGAGCAGAAGTACAAAAGAAAACAACCATAAATGAATGGTTTTTTTAGCACGTGCATTTTATCGCAGATATCAAGAACAGACTAACTCAGTGGAATGCAATAAGAGAAATAAAGACTAAAATTACCTCATAATACAATCGAGAAACTAAAAGAAGTCAGAAAAATAAGAAATAAATATTATCATTTACGTCAAAGAGGCATCTGAGGTGAAGAAACTACAGTATTATCATGAATCTTGTCAAGAAAAATAAAAGTAAGATAGGAAAGTATAAAGTGACTCAGTGGCATGGCTTTTAAGTCACAATGCAATAAACATATGACAATAGGAATAAAATGCGTTGCTCATATCTGTCTCGTATTTATAAATGACGCACACAATAGTTTTATGAATTATTGAGTGCTAATAAAGTAATATTAGAGCAGAATGAAAATACGAAAGAATTACATGAGTATTACAGTGAGCAGTTCATAATATTCTCGATCGATTATCAAAATTTACATGAAGTGAAAATTGACAGTGAATGCAATGAAATATTGAAGATATTATCAAATTCAACTGAACAAACGGAAAAAACAAGTATTGAAGGAATCAGACGTTTCATTGGCTCTCTTAAACCGAAACAATCAACAAATTATGATCAGATTTCGAACTCGTTGATGAAGAGACTTCTTCCAAGTTATATCGAATGTCTTTTAAATTGTTTTAAACACTGGCTAAACAAATGCAGATCTTAAACCAAATGGAAATTAGCAAAAATAGTGACTCTAAATAAATACAAAGCAAGTGTTCCAAAATGCAATCAAACACGTTTAATAACTTTAGTAGCAACACATTCCAAAATTTTCGAAAAACTAGTATTTAATATGTTCAGATACTAGTCAGAGACGAGCCAGCACCGTTGATCGAATACTTAAAACAAAAAGGTACATGATTGTCCGATCCCATCTGATATACTAAAAAAAATGGAAACAACTTATAAATTTGTCAAAATCAATGGCACAGCTGTTTTATGTGCAAATACGGTAACCAAGAGCGTATATAGAAATGAATAGACAACAAATCAAATTATTAATTGCATTTAAATATATAGGATTTACATGAACAAATAAGTTTTCCTTGAAATTAACAGTTGATAGATGCATAGAAAACATTAAGAAATCGTTAGATAAGGTTAAATATTTAAGAACAAAATGCTTCATGTCTAACAAAGCGCTTAAACAATGTTTTTTTTATTCGCATATACATTTACTCATCAAGCATGGTTATTTTCCTTCGACCCACTGCTTTTCGAGTCACAAGAACTACCATTACAGCAGCAACTCAAAGTTAGTTTTTGACTCGTGCATTGTTGCACCTTTACCTCAGCTCGTAATCGATTCACTATGACTAATGGCTTCTGTCTTTCATTTACTTCCTTCTTCTCGAATTTCTGCATGTTCTATGATTTTTTCTTGCTTTTCTCTATGTATCTCTCTATTTACACTCTTACACCCATGTAACTAGAGTGAATACACTGTACAATGATATTGGTGGTAACTGTAAAACTCATCGGATTTATGTCGTACTTATTGCTCAAAAATCATAATGTCTCCTTATATCATCATGTAAGAATTTGTGAGTGTTACAATTAGAAGCGTAATAAAAAAAACACTTGTCTTTCGTACAGGAGGTCTGGATTCGATTCTCGGCGTCGGCATGCTTTTTTTTCTAGAAAATAGTCATAACCAAGTTTTTCTGTTGCTCATAACAAAATTGCTAAGAAATATAACTATCGGCACAAAATATGTATAACAGTCCGACGTGGTCTAGTGGTTAGGATTTCTGCCTTTCACGCAGGAGGCCCGGGTTCGATTCCCGGCGTCGGAATCTTTTTTCTCAGAAACGAAACAGGTTTGAAACTAGTGTCCAAAAAAGGTAATAACAAAGGTAGTTGTATAAAGTTTTTTCTAAGGAAAATTTTTATATGCACAAACTCAATGCAAATAATGTGTAGCGGTAGTCACAGTTACAGCTGAATGAACACGATATTTAATTAAAAGAAAAAAAAATGTTACGTTAGGTGTGTCGATTATTCCTATGTACAGAGACATTAATTGCCCGTTTTACTTTTGACAAGTGTTCCAGTTAAAAGCAATTAATGATATGCAGCAAACTTTTTTTGATCAGTTGCCATCTAATAATTACTATACGCGATCGATAAATTCTGATGCATATGGACAACTGCAATACGTTGATAACATGAATATGAATCTCGAAGTACCACCAACATATCAGACACCAATCCAACAACTACCACCTTATGCAACGGCTATTCCATCAGCACCATATTCGATACCTATACAGCAACAACCATTTCCTGTCAATAACAATCAGAGTAAAAGTTTAACCTTATTTTTATACGAGTGTAAGAATTCTCTTTTTAGATTTATCAACAAACTATCTAACAAGTGCAGGAGCACTGACATCTAACAGCTATAAATGGCCACGTAGATCGGTTGTGCTTGTTTGTCCACGATGTGGTGCCACAGTAGAAACACGTGTAGAATTAGAAATTACAACGATTACTTTTATTGGTTTTGTGATCTTATGTTGTTTCACCTGCATTTTAGGCTTGCTAGCATTTTGGTTGCCAGCATGTAAAAAAGTAACTCATTATTGCCCCTATTGTAATAGTGCTTTAGGTATACGACATGAATTACGTTAATAAAGATAGAATTAATCAATCGAATTGTAGGCTTTATTTTTTACAAAAAAATTCAACACATGCTCTGGAATGAATAGTTTTAATTATAAAAAATATATATATATAAATAACACTATTGAAATAACTTTTGAATGTGACTAACCATCAAAATCATCAACATTAATCCGCATGGTATTCTGTGGTGATTTTCGACGTGCACTATTTCCATTTTGTTGATTGCGATCATTTTCAGTTCGATTTCTTTCACGATTAATTCTTTTTTGTTCTTTTTGATGTTCAAGTTCTTGTCTTTTGATTTTATCAAATTGAGTATCAAAATCTTCTTCCGTTAAATGTTCACCGTCAAGTATACCAACAACAGTAAAATCAAGTAATTTATACGGTTCAAGTTTAAGATTAAGACTTGATGCTTTTACTTTTTTATTTGTAATTAATGAAGGATCAATTATCATCCATTGTCCTCGCTCAGGAAAATAACGTGCTATTGTTATTTTAATTATTTCTTTTGAATCATTTTTGTCATAAAAATTCTCGTTTGTAAATGATTTTAAATGCGATAAAATATGATGTTCGAGATATTCATATTTAGCAGCTGTATTGTCTCGTATAGGCCAATGAAGTTCAAATTTATGTTGAAAATAATTATTAATAGTATCTTTCGCATAAACAATATTAAGAAGTAAATCTTTTTTTGCTAAATGTTCAGGATGAGATAATATTTCAAAGGCATATGAACATAAATCGCGTACTTTTGCTTGTCTAAATAGGACAAACAATAAAATGACGTCTCCATGCTTTTTATAAGAAATATTTTACTTTAGAGTTGTTGAAATAGGTTCATGTACAATTGATGTTGGTTGATCATTTTCAATGTCATAGAGACGAATGAATTCCAATGGTTGAGCATCATTAATATAATTCGATGGAACTTCAAAATCAATGAATTTCGCTATATATTCACGAAGAACATTAAATGAAGATATGATTGGTAATTCAAATCGTTTCTCTAGTTCAATCATTTCGAATGTAGGTCGAGTATGAACTAGGAAAAGAAAACAAAAAGAAGATCATTAGGTGTACATCATCTAAGTTTCTTGCAACGATTGTTAAAAAAATTAAATGAGACAAACAAAACATTTTATCATTGAACTTTCCTCAAGAAAAAAAAAGATATTTTATAATCGATAATAGATTTCATTTTCAAAAAACTAAAGCATTCGAAATAGACTAGTCGATTTTTAAAACTTTTTATCTTATGAAGAAAAGTTCGCAAATGTATCTTGCCAATCGAACTGATATTTTGATCATGCATAAGCTCTGATGAAACTAGCAGAGGTCTATATGACTTTGGTCTCGATAGAGTCTGTCGAGTTGTTTTCGCATCTGGATCTGATTGGTTTCGAGTTCGAAAATTTTGGACTCGATAAACTCAAGTTCCCATGCGCTGCTCTTCTACAAGTTAGTATAATTTTACTTAGTCGTTGATCCCTGGAAAGGTATTTGTGAAAAAATCGGATTAGGAAATTTTATCCTGAAGTTTTGTCCATTGGTAGGTCTCATGAACCTTAGAATGCCCTGAAGATTTCGGTCTGAAAGGATATGTTGCTCTTGAGATATTGAATTTTCAAAACCTTGAGCTTATTTATCTTTGCTTTGAACACTTGACTCTTTTTTTGAATATTCAATGGTTCAAGAAGAACATATGTTTAGACTGAGATTGTTGGAGTATTCTAAGGACCATGAGATTCGACTATAGACAAAATTTCTCGTTGAAATTTCGTAATTTGGTTTTTTCGCAAGTACTTTGTCAGAAATGAAGAGTTCAGTAAAATTATTATAATTCGAGAAAGACAATGCATAGGAACAACTCCTTATATGTTTCTTCTGGTCTTGTCGGAGTCTACGTGCCGGAAAAATAGCAGTGTAATTGGCACGTCACACTTAGAGATGTTCCCTCGCTAGACGAAATTCAGTCTTACTAGCTTCATTTGGTTTGTAGTATTTGTTGATAATTCTAAACACTTTCAATCGAACATGATTTCTCGGTGCAACACTGCCTGATTGCATGATTAATTGAGCACCATTTGTAAGTCCATTAACTAATAATGGTTGATCAAAATCATTCAATGGTGGACCATCATTTATCAATGATGTTGTAACTTCACATAAATGATATTCATTATCATTATCTAATAATACGAAGAAAAAAGAAAATCATTCATATTAAATAAAGAAATCATTTTTCTTACTATCCATATGAAGTTCTTGTTTAATTAAATTCCATAAATCAGTTAATGTCATACTTTGATCAACAACAAGTTCAAGTGAATTAGGTTCACGATCAGATAAAAAATAAATTAGAAGATTATTCTCCTTAAGTGCTTGACCTAATTTTAAACAAAGATTTGTATTGTTTTGTTTAAAATCAATTGTATCGACAGTTTGATGATCATAGACTAACATAAGAAAATTAAACAATAAAAATTTTTCTACATAAAAACAAAATTTCGCATACGAGGAATATGTGCTACATCAGAATCATCATCAATATGTAATCGACACATGGATGGATCCAATGATAAACCGAATGCTTGAATAGCCATTAATTTAACTTCGCCAATAGGCTAGAAAACAAACAATCATTTTGCAGTGTACAATTAAAATGGAGACAAAATGTTTGAAAATTAAATATTTTAAACTTTTTCCCTCAATCATCACAGCTAAAACAAATAGAAGAAGAAGATTTGAGTAATTGAAAGAATACTCAATCAGAAGAAATCCATGTCAAATATCTGGCAGCAGGTTTGAGTGAAAGCGTCTCTAGAAAATCAAGACTGCGAACATCAATTTTCTGGACTCTAACAAGAACTTTTTACTAAAAAGTCTATCTGATAGAGAAAACATTTCGGAGCACTTTAGGATGTTTTCGAGCTCTCTAAAACCTATCTTCAATGAACTGTACTCATTCTACGGCGACTGCTGCAGAGTGAGACATTTTTCGTATACTATACTCCACCCTATAGACTTTCTCCCTAAACCCACCCAAAAGATTTCCAGACTTTGGACATATATTAGGATGATATTTTCTTCATGATGTTTCAGCATGTTTTATTGGTTGGCAACGATAATGAAGTACAAAACTATCATATGTTTCAAAAGTTTCATAAGACTAAAGTTTCATTGACTATGCCACCACTTAATTCTGTCTTGTCTCCTTCAAAACTCTTCGACTTGCACTGAGAATATGTTCACTTGCAACTAGAATTATCCAGAAATTCCCCATATCCTTTTTCCAATATACTAAGTTGCAAATAGTTTCATTATCATTTGTCCCACCTGTCCGTTACTAACTTGTCTTTCCCAAAACCTAATTTCACTTTAACATAAAGACTGAATTTTTCTAAATCAGAAAGATGTCAGGCGTACCTTCAAAGTTACTTAGCAAAAACTTCTAGCAATATGAACAACATTCTAATTCTACTCTAAACATTTTTTGTACCAATCACACGCTATCCTAACGTTTCTTACCCTATTCCTATCCTGCAGATAGAAAAAGCTGTTTAAACCTGTCGCACAATGATTATTGTTCGCTGAAGACAGATTATAGAGACCGGTTGAACATCTTATTTGATTCTGAAATATGTTCTCTATCGGATGGACTTATTTGAAAAGTGTTTAGATAGACTTCAGAGAACTGATTTTGGCAGTTTGAGTTTTTCAGAAGCCTATTCATCCACACCTGTTAATGGGAATTGGAAAAGTATCTTCCTGATAGGAAATTGTTTGAATTAATCGAATCTTTTCCTGATTTATTTTAACTATTATCGATAAGAAAAAAGCCAAAAATACTTCGTTTCTCAACTTTTTGCCTTCACTTTATTTATTATTAATCTTACTGTTGTATTTAAACAACTATATGTCATTGGTTTTGTATTCGTTGAATCAATATTATTTTTAACTGTTAATGATAAATGAGTTTTTCCCATATTAGTATTATTTGAAGAAGCATCTTTCCAACTTGGTACACTAGAATATAAATTAATATGTATGTATGATGAAACACAAATAAATAAATAACTTACAAAGAATTTTTATTATCAATACCTAATGTATCACCATCATGTAAATATAATTGTGCTAATGTTTGTTTTTCTTCATCAGTTTTATATTCCCGACGTGATTTACGATTATTTTTTTCTTCTAAATTTAATTTACCCATACGAACTTGTCTCAAAATTTGTGGATCATCATGTTGATAAAAATCATAAAATAAATGTTTTTTTAATTCAAATAATGTAGTATTTTTTGATACATGTCGTGTAGTTTGTAAGCGTGATGCATGAATATGTGCATCAGGAAAACCATAGACTATATTTAACATTATTGGTTCAAATTCTTCACCTTGTAGAACTGTATCTTGTAGCGTTGATGGATGTTTAAAAACAATCATATGACGATAATTTGATAGATCATTTTTATCTAATGTTATGTCATCATTTGAATTTGTTAATTCACTAATTATATGCAATTGACCAGAACGAAGTTTTTTCGCAACATAAAAATGACTTCCTATACCGTATATATCCTCAATAAAAAGAACATCATAACTTTTTGACGTATACGAAAAACATTTTTTGTGTTAAAAATATATTTAATTATCAAATGTTGTTCAGTACAAAATACTCTTTAATAAGAATTTGAAATGCCTTATGTAGGTTAAGTCATTGTCATGTTTTGGAAACCTTCAAAGCTTTTAAAGATGTATTCTTTGCAAAATGTTGAAGGTAAATGACAGAGATCGAATTAGTTAATGATTAATTGGAACTGAATCGAACTCAGTTAAACCTTATAGACAATTTAATAAACGTATTATACTACCAGATTTAGTGATGTGCACACTGACAGCAATGTTCACTGAAGTACTGGAAACATGCTGATTCGAAAAGGATTTATTTTGATAAAATTAGTGTATCAATGTTAGCAGTGCTACAGTGAATTCT